TTAATCATCACACTTGGGCGTGAGACACTTTGAGCTAATTCTACAGACACCAATCCATCCAGACCGAAGCTTGACAAGGTAGTATGTCACCAAGTGCCATAGCTCTGAGATCGTTTCAAAAGCAGAATTGTAAACACGGATGGGAACCAAGCTTCTGAGAACACAGACTGTGTGTCTGTTACGCAAGCCCTCGGCAGGCACGTCTCCCACGTCATACACATGTGAGCTCTGTTGGAGAACAAGGTCAAGACAGAAAGAGCCAGCGTGTGCCCGCCAGGGTCCACGTCTTCTGAGTTCCCCATCACTGACATGCCAAAGGGATGGCCACCAAGACTGTCTTGTCTAAGGGATCTGGGGAAACTAGGACAAAGATTTTACATCCAAAATTTCCAATCTTGCTGTAGCCACTTTGTGGAAGTCCAAGAAGGCTCAAGGAGTACTGTAAGCTTCTCACAAAACTAATCTTAACTGAAGCCATTTCCTTTGACTCCCCACAGCCTAGAGTCAAAATGGCCAACTCCTCCACTCTCCCTCAAGCCTCAATGTAAAAGGCACATCCTGCAGAGGCAGGCCCTATAGTGTACGTTCTCCGTAGCATCCCAGGAAAGCAAGGCTTTCATCCCACTTGTCACAAGCATAATCAATTGTTCACATACTCTGCTACCCCCACTCATCCCAAAGGAAACTGCAGACTGAAAGCTGGTGATCTGTCTTATTCATCTAGCTGTTAGAAAGCAGTAACTGAGTGAATGAGTGAAGGAATACATGAATGAAGATCCGGTCTCATCTGGCTTTATGTGACTATCACACTCTCATTTTGCTTTGATTTTAAATTTGAGGGGAAAAAATGTGCTGTAGAGTTGACTGTGACCCATAGCCACCCCACATGTGTCAGCCTAGAGCCCTGCCCCACAGGGTTTTCAGAGGCTAAGCCACCAATCTCCAGGCCTTTCTTCCAGAGCACTCTGGGAGCATGCAAACTCCACAGCTCTTGGCTTTTCTGCTCTATTACTTTTTCCACATCCAGATAAGGCTCTCGAATCTCTTCTGGAGTGGATATGGGTAAGTACAAATAAATAAACACAACACTAACTGAAAATGCAAGCACGTCAGATGTCACTCCAGCAGCCCTGTTGGAAGCAGGCAGTGTCCTCAGGTCAGGTGACAAGGTGTGTCCACTACAGGTCAGTCTGTGGTCCTTCCATCAAGGCCCCTGTCCCTCCGCGGGCCCATTTTCACTCACCGGCACTGACGTTCCTGGACAGGACAGGCAGGGGGTCGGTCTCTTGGTCAGGTCTGATCAGGATGGAGACCGCAGAGGATGCCGTGATCTCCCTGAAAAGGCTGCTCACACCCTGCGTGGATTCCTTCAGCAAGGAGGTCACATTCTGCGTGGATTCCTTTAAGAGGTCTGAGACGGTAGGAGCAAACTTACTCTGCCCATTCAGATCCTTGTTGTCAATGTTGATGGCAAAGAGTATGGAGTTCAGACCTGCCAAAAGGAGGGTGTGGGATAAGGCTGTGTGTCAGCGTGGCTGGGCCTGGTGAGTGGCTGGGCAGCTGGATGTTATTCCCCACGGTGAGATTGGTAATTAAGTCCATGGTGGAATCTACTGGAGCAGCTGAGTAGCGGCTTCGGGAAGGTGGGCCGCTTCCAGTACATAAGCAGCAGCTCTGAGGAAGGTGTCCAGCTTTTTGGCATGCCTGTAGCCAAGTCATTGTTCAACAGCCTGCCATGCCCTGCCAATCTTCTTCTGGACTTGAATTAGTGGCCTGTTGTGTTGTTTGGTAACATTGGGAATGTGCCTTTTCACTTGTCAACCTTGGGTCTGTCCGCCTCAGCAGCCAGCAGCTGCCTGAGTGGGCCGGGAGTAGGAGGCAGAGCTGAAGCCCAAGCTCGAGGGGCTTTCACCCAGCCCCTAGAGCCTGGCACTTTGACCCTGGACTGCTAGCCTCCACACTGTAAGAAAATAAACCCACTTGTTAAAGCTATCCATTTGTGGTATTTCTGTTAGAGCGGCCCTAGGAAACCAGAACAGGGGAATATCCACCATGCTTGCTGGGGGGCAGTCACACCACCAGCAGGATACACACACGGCAGATGTTACAGCACCCAGAGCACACACACTGACCGGAAACGCCCATGAGAAACCCTCCCCAAGCCTGAAAAACCAGACCTACTGGACTGGTTGAGATTGGGGCACCCCTGAAACCACTGCCCTGAGATGCTCCTTAAACTTGGAACTGAAACTAAACCCCAAGGTCACGTTGTAGCTAAGTAACAAATTAGCTCAAAAAAAAACAATGACTATTACCCAGGAGCTCTGGTGGCATAGTGGATGAGGCACTTGACTGCTAACCAGAAAGTCAGTGGTTCAAGCCCAGCTGCTCCATGGAAGGAAGATGCAGCAATCTACTTCTGAAAAGATTTACAGCCTCAGAAACCCAATGGGAGTTGCTATGAGTTGGAAACAACTCGATGGCAATGAGTTTGGTTTTTTTTGGTTTTTTTTTTTTTGGTTATCACCCTGTATCACCTGTAACTACTGTGCTTCTTTGAAAAATCACCAACAGGAGACCAACAGTCAACAATGACTTTAAAACAAATATAAGAACACAAGGGGGCAGGACAACTAGATGAACGGAAAAGGAACAACCAAAATGGAAGTAATGAGAATGTTCACACATCGTGACGAATATAACCAATGTCACTGAACAACTCGTGCAGAAATTGCTGAATGGGAACCCAAACCGCTATGAAAACCTTCACCAAAAACACATATGATGTTTAAAAAAAGAACCTTTCTACAAAACTGGGGTCATTGGATGTCAATCTTTCCAACAGAAGTGGCTCTTCCTATCCATAAAAACCAAAATCGGAGCTCCCTCTTCCTATCCATAGGAGGAGTCAATCAGGAGGAAGCTGTGGGTTAATCAGGGTCAGACTTCCAGGGGTGGGCTACCAGCACCACCACTTCCTAACTTCAAGACTCTGGTCAAGAGACTTATATCCCCTGTGGGCTTTACTTTCCTTCTCTGTAAAATGGGAGCAGCATCTTTCTCACCCACCAAAAAACACTCAGCTCAAAAAGCAATCAAAAATACGTGTACAGCAGTGGCACTATCCTTACTTTAGGCAAATACGTGCACTGCCATCCAACAGCTCACAGAGGAAACCATGGACAACCTGACTTTGCCTCTTCAAGAAAGAAAACTAACACAACCTGTGGGATTTAGTCTGAATTTTCCAGAAGAAAAATAAAAAGGGAGAGAAAGGCAAAAATGATCTGAGAGAAAGACAGGAGCTGCTCACTCTTCTCCAGTTATTTCCACCTCCCTACTCTGGGTGAGAGTCAAATTTAGCAACCCACCCGGTACCATCACCAGGGCCTCCACGTTTATAAAACCTTGTCCATGATTCTTTATCACACAAGACACTCTCATAGGCCCTATAAAGGTGATTGCTGGGAGGCAGGGTTCCCACCTAACAGAGGGACAGGAAAGCTAAGAGAGCTTAGGGGACCTGCCCAATGTCACCCAGACAGTGAGGAGGAAAGCAGGAGTCAGAGGCAGCTCTGTGTCCAATTTCCTGGCTCTTTATATTACTCCAGCAAAGCCACAACAAGGATCTCTCCACCCCAAGCTTTCTCTGCCAAGTTATCAAAGAGTGGATAATGGGAGTAGAAACAAGCTCAGTGCCACAAGGGAAGGAGAGTGGCGAGTGACTCGTAAGGCAGTGAGAGACAGGGAAAAGGAAGGCATCCCTTGGAGTTATCATTCTCAGCCTGCCTCCTCTGCTCACCACACTTCCCAGGACCCTTTGTTCCTGGTTTGGCCAGGCTTACCAGCTGCCATGGTGGGAAGCATGCTAGACCTCTCTTCATCCATCACAAAGGACCAGTCTTCATAAAAAGTGCTGCAATTGAAAAAGAGAGAGGGAAGGTTCTGAACAGTGCTTCTCTGAGTCCATCAGCCACACAATCCAGTGGCTCCTGGAAAATCCATGCCTGGTCATCTCATAGGGGATTCAGTCTGAAGTCTCTGGTGTTGTACTGTCTGGTTTTAAATAAGGGACTGAATGCATCCATCCTACAACTTCCATGTTAGTCCCCTGAGACCCCATGTGTTAGAGAACTGAAATAGGCATGGTATGTAAAAGGAGCATTTATGAAGTGACAACGTAGAAGGGGCAAACAGAGGGATGAGTTCCACTCAAACTGTGTCTCCAGGAGACAGACCAGGAAATCCTGGCTGGCCAACAGAGGTCTCCTGCTTTGGTTAATAGAAGAAGACATAATCCCAGAACTAAGTTATAGCACTCCATGGCTCCATCCACAAGAGTATTTACTTCTAATACCTGCTTGGGCTGTAGACCAGGAAGCCCAAGCTATTGTTGGCAAGGGCTAAGAGAGGCCAGAAATCTATTCAGCAGGAGGAAGGCTCAAAGAAGCCTGTAGGGTCTGCCCAAGGTCACCTGGCCAATCAATGGTGCAGCTAAGATGGAAAAGCAGGTCCCCAGAGTCCAATTCCCCAGCTCCTTACAGGACTCCGTGCCAGGCAGTAATACCAAATAACTTCCACCCCATGACTCTCCTGACCGGTCATGGAATTCTAAATTCAC